GCTAAAGCAAGGAAACAACCACAACGGTAATGACAACGACCAAAAACAATTAGTGTTACACACAGAACATTAAATATGTACATTACACTTTTTAATCATTATTTTCCTCAGAGGAATGACCGACTTGAGTGAGTTGCTTGAAAAAGGGAGACTTTGGCAATTCTCTTGAGCTACTTCAACCTAGACAACAATAGTTAAGAATATTTGTTTAATTTATTTTTGATCTCATCGAGTGTCAAAGGGTAGTTGATTAATAAATGCTTCAAAAATGTTGCAAAGAGTTGTTCTCTCTCGAGATTTTTGTATTTGTTTTTTTTTGCTTCTATGCACTGCAAATGTTTTTAAGCATGATTTCTGTCTGTTACAAATCGCTCCAGGGAGCATAAATCAGCTTTATATAAAAGGTTTAATTTTTTATTCTCGTGTTGAGGGCTTGTGAAGCTTGCTAGGCTTTTTAACGAGAGGACCAAGACTCTGTTCTTTCTCTTTAGGATAGCAGTTTAATCTTCAACAGCTAATGACAACAACTCTACTAATTCTACTAGCTTACACAGCGAATTAAATAACCAAATTGTAGACTTATTTTGAGTTAGCTGACCAGAAGAGTTTCTATTGAATACCTTATCGCCTATATCGCAACAGGTTTGCTATAGTTAGATAAGCCTACACAGCCGCAACTGACAAGTACCAAAGAACCAGTTAAATGCTAACAGTGAAACTGCCCAGAAGGACAAAACAGGAACTCGATTGTGGGTAAAACTCAAGGTCAGCTGTACTTCCCAAACAAGCCTACTTCAAAGAACCAAAACTAAGCTTAACAAACAGTTCAAATGGATAATACTAGACAAAAACTCAGGAACTAACCAAGTGGGGAAATGCATTTAATCTCTAAGTTTCTAACTCTATTAAACTCTATAAACTGTTTTTCACGAAGCTAGCAAAATCTTAAAAATAGGAAAACTGAAAAACAAAACTAAAGGCAACTACCTCATGACATTCCTCCCTACCTAAACTGAGCATCGTCTTCGATGTGGACAGGAGGAAAACGGATATACTACTTTAAGATTTTATGTCAATTAAGTACTATAGAAAAAAAAGAAAATGTCTCAAAAGGGAGAGAAAAGATTTTATGATATCTCTCCAGCTGCCACTTTCCCACTGTGAGCATTCGTGACGATATACTTGTACGCGCTCTCCGGAAACGTCGCCCCACAATCGCAAGTGCACTAGTCTTCAGAAAGTCAACGTTCTTCTTAAAGCATTTGGTGCATACAAGATGATCACAGCGTAAAACTGTCCAATGAAATATGGTGGCACCCTTCATCTCGAAACAGAAAATGCAAACCCATTTTACCATGTGGCGGATGCGTTGGCAATCAAGATCCATAGTACCTATAAGTATAAAGCCATAACAATAACAAAAACTATAATGATGGGATGTGACATAATGGTCAAGGTCAATTCTGCTCTAACTCTGTCAAACGATTGCGGACGAACTGCTGGAAATTAGCTGAACTATGAGCTAACAATAGGTCTTCAAAAATAAAAATTTCTTCATACTCGTGTGATGCGAAAGCCATAAGGTTACGAGTTAGAAAAAGGTAACCGGATGTTTTCAAAGCAAACAACACTTCATAGAATTGATTCTCTGGAAACGAACGACAGTAATTTTACGGAAATGTTGCGCAAAAAATGTCACTGATGTAGCACTCGTAAATGATGAAATAATGACAAATATGCACGAACTCGACAAGGTCATCTACTTCCCAATTCAGAGATCGACCAAAACCAGAAAACAGCCCTAAAAACAACCAATAGATTGCCACGAAAAATAGTGATTCATATGAAATACAGATGTTGTTTGCCTCGAAGAACGAATGTCACACTCATACTTAAATGACGCGAAGCGTCCACTAACTGAAGCTAACTGAGTAGCCCCAATTTCATCTAAAAACCTCGAAAAATTAAAGAGTCAGAGTGATCCGGTAATACATCATCAGTAAATTAAAAAATGCAAGAGCTTATTACAGTTGAGTTCCTTTTTTTAAGCTTGGAATGTCTTGTCCTGAAAAGTCTTGCTACTGCTCCTTTGCTCCAAATCGTTGCAGGTCACGACACTGTTTACTTGCAGCTTTTTTATGACGATTGTTCTTTACAGGTTTGGAACAATGGCCGGATACCTTGCACTGTAGGTTGTTAGAAACAGGTGCTTGCAAGGGAGGAGGCGTATGTGGAGCTTGACGTTCAAATATCCTGAAGGGACATCAGCAAACAATACAAAAGATGTTGAAACTGGTCACTGAAAGACCTAGTGCAATGAAAGCAATGTGCTTGACGTAACTGGGAATAGTGGTTTCTTCTATCACTAAGCTGGCCATCATAACGCTGAAACAACTCATCAAAATTATCAATCCGGTACGGTTAATCTTAATAGGTGGTGGGATGGTCAGGGATTCTTGATGCAAGTCCAGTGGAGTGAGATCATCTGAGTTCGGATCCCACTGAACATATGTAATCATATCAGTTGAAAACAGTGGAAGTGATTCCAGCAGTCTTTGAGGACAGGTACGTAAGGTAATTTTAATTCCAATGAAAACCCAACCATTGCAAGCTAGAAACCGACTTTAAGACACTTTTGGGACATACGAAACCTACTTCACTACTAAAAGACCTATCTAATCCCTCTAAAGACACTACCTGCCTCGAATTTGGACAATTAATTAAAGCAAGGTTTGTGTGTTGAACAGGCCCTGGAAAACACTTACCGGAAATATTAAACTTAAGAGGCGTCAAATGTTCTACGATGCAGAAACTATTCTTATCCGTGATCTCATGTGCTTACAATAAAATATCAGTAGTCAAATTCTGAGCATGATGTCCAACATCAAGTATAGGGCTTTCCAGGACTGACTTACCTTCCTCTATTGCTGTTATAGTCAATCTCAAAGATGGATCAATAGAAAGTTTGACAGACAAGTGCGAAGAAATAAACTTAGGTAAATATGAATATCCTACCAACGGTTTATCGTTCAGATGGGAAATTTGACTTGAAGTATCTTGGATTTCAAAAAGTCTAAGAAAGGCGACAAATTCACAGGAAACTTTTTGTAATTCCCAAACTGGGAAAATGTTGGGGATTTTTCCCATTATTGGGAAATGTTTGGGACAACATTTTCCTCTCATGGGAAATGATTGGTAAAAGTTTGGGTTTATTTTTCCCAATGCTGGGTTCACTTTGGGAAATGAAGCGAAATATTTTTTAAAATACCAATGTTGGGAATCCAATGGGTTTTCTCCCCAGAATATGGGAAAATGATGGGACTATTTTTTCACAAGTTGGGAAATATTTCAACATGTTATTCCCAATTTTGGGAAATGCAAGGGACAAGAAATCCCCACCTTGGGAAAGGGTTGGTTAAAGTTAGGGTTACGTTTTCCCGATGCCGTGTTTAGTTTGGGAAAATATGCAATATAGATTCCAAGATCCCAACATTGGGAAACCAATGGGTTTATTTCCCAAAATATGGGAAAATAATGGGGCTATTTTTCCACAAGTTGGGAAATATTGCAACATGTTATTCCCAATTTTGGAGAATGAAAGGGACAAGAAATCCCCACCTTGGAAAAGGATTTGATTAAATCTAGATTTGTTATTCTTATGACTATTATATTGGGTGGGAAAGTATACAGTAATCTTGTGTTAGCATTACGGTGTAAGGGTTAGGCCAATAATTATATTCTTTTACGGGAAATATTGAATAAATTCCAATCCAAAAACAGAAAAGGATTAAGAATAATATTTTTCATACACATAATGTTTGGTAACAAGTAAATCTTCCCAAATGTTGAGTTTAGTTTTGAAAGAAATGACAGATTGCTCTTGAAATACCAACATACATAATGTACAACTAATGTTTAAAAAGTTTAATTTTATAAACATCATATCTGCTAAGTTTAGAACAAAACAGTTTAAGTTTCGTTGGCTTATTTGAAAACCAAAAGTATGGTAATTCAGTGCACGCACTTGATCGTATGCAGCCGCTTCAATATAATTAACTATAAATGATCCCACTAGGCGCATAACTTTTCTCGATATCAAGGTGTCTTCTGTTGAGAGCTGAAATTTGCCCAATTACTCGAGCCCAATCTGATTAATGAGATTGCTTCGCGTGGAGTTTTCGGCGAACTACATTTTTCGCTGCATCTGTGAATAGGCCCGCTGCCTTTTTTCAAAGGTTCCCTCACCTGGGAGAACAATACAATATTTTCTTCTCACTGCTTTACTCTTCGCGAGCGTCGGCAAAGTGCATTTAACTCTGAAACGGACCACAAGTTAAAGCTTTCAAAGACAGAGAATCTTCTCCATCGCGCCGTTGAATTGCCGCCATGTTTGGTACTTGAACTGGCGTCCAGGCCTCCGCTTAGTGACGCGCGATCACGTGCGGCTTTTGAACCAATAGAAATGTGTACAAGATCAGTTTTCTTGGTTCAAATCTTTAGGCGGACTTCTGTGCAGTACAACAGTGGTTTGCAAACGGATTGTCTTTATAATGAATGCATCCAACGATTTTAACGCAAAATATTCACTTGTGAGGTTTGCTTACATTTGTCTTGTTTCAAAATTGTCTTCTATTAAACAATGACTCAGCTGGATCGCGCATTAAAGAGGAAGGTACGTGTGGAAACTCGTGTTTGGTTGCTCCAGTGTAATAATAAGAGAGTCAGGTCAGATGATGTAAAAGTACTCAAATCGGGCTGAAACTTCGTAAAAACAAAGACAACGACTCCAGGTAACAATATTTACACTTTATTGATAACTTTTATCGCGTTTACTTCATTTATTTCATGTAAGTTTCAAACTCTATTTTTCTCATACAAACTCTCATATTACGCCACCACAGGCCCATATTATGCTTGGGCCACCTGTGGTTGCTCCGTTGAGATCGTACGAGGCTTGATCGTCTCTTGTCGGGTGCTATTTGTTCGTTTTTATAGATGAAGTTTCCACCTTTTTTGTTTCTACAGATGACTGTGGTCTTTGCTGCAAATCGTCCACGGAATCCTTTAGAATAATCATATTCTGGCGGAATATTGAAGTCGAAGACTTCGATGTATTAGAGGAAATATAAGAATGTTCTGACATGTTCGCTATGTAAAAACTATACAAGAGACTGGTTCATTTATTATAATTATGACTTGACGCTGTTTTTTCCCAGGTAGGACTTAGCTATAACTAAATACCATAGTGGTTCTGATATAAATGTTGCTCTTAACCATGAAAATGAAGTTATTTAAGGGACATTTGATGTGTTCATAAAGGAATTGAGCTGTTTGATATATGTACGGAATAGCCTTCGACAATATGACTCTGCATAACGGCATTGCTCTATGATTGATGAATGAACTTAAGTTAAACAGTTTAATATATTTTTATGATACATTTTTCAATGATATTGTACTTTTTGGACGATATATACATATAAAGAGATACAGATTAAATACCTGTTTAGTAACAATCAACCAGTTTGAATTGACACCTGCATTGTCATCTAAAATAAATGTTACTGTAAACCATTTTAATATTGTCGAACCTTTATTTTGTGTTTTACAACTGGACCAATATTTTTAAAGGCTGCTGGATTGATTACAATGACATTCTGGACCAAAAAAATCCCATAATTCAGGAAATATGTAGGCCAATTTCATCCCACTATTGAAGATCAACTGAGGCAATAAAAACCCATCTTTGGAGTATTACTATCCCAATATATTCCCATACCTCGGGTTTAAATTGGTCCAATACTATCCCTTTAATGGGATAAAAGTGGACCAACTTTATACCACTAATTGGGGATTACCTGGGGCAATAAAAACCCATGGTTGGGGTATTACTGTTCCAATATAATCCGTACATTGGGTTTCAGATGGCCCAGTATTTAACCCACTATTGGGGTTCAACTGGGACAATTGAATCACATTTTTGGGGTTTTTGTGGGTTGGTAAAATCCCATTAATGGGATAAATATGGGATGTGAAAACTCCATTCGTGGGTTAAAGTTGGTACACTAAAATCCCAATTCGCGGGTTTTTATTGGGTTTACTTGAACCCAATATTGGTTTTGGTAGCATTTTCCCAATTTGGAAAATTACAACCAAAACTCAAGAAAACCCCACGAATTTCCTGTTTTTTTCCCACTTTGGGAATCATAAAAAGTTCCCTGTGAAAGGCGCAGTTAATTTCCGCAGTATATTTAGAAAGAAGTTCCATTATCAATCCCTTGTGGCATCTGACCGAATTCGCAAATTTTTTGGGTTGTCTCTGCCAACCAGTAAAGGTGTTTTAAATCCTGAGACAAAATATACAGTTTACTGTTCATTTGATCTGTAATTTTAAACAAATACACAACTTTTCCGTTGATAACATGCATCATACTGTGGGAAATAGACATAGCGCTGCTCAGAGTTCTTAAAGTGGCTTTAAGCTTCCTCGCATTTATCGCCTGTTCTGGTCCAAATTGCGCGAAAAATATGTAGACCCCATGCATGGCCCATCCAATTTGAACGTCGCGTGCAGCTTCTCCCTAGCAACCAGTCTTTTGTCAACCGACGTGCCGTGGCAGAATCGTAATGCTCAAGTTTTACACTCAGAAATGGAACTTTTATAGGCTCTTGGACATGACTTTCTCGAAACTTTTCCTACCATAAACTGATAATACGTCGGTAAATGTGTCACTCGACCAAAGTTGAAAAGCCTGCCAAAGAAAGAAGCCAACGAACAATGTTTTGAAAACTGCAAACTGTAAGCAATAATTGATCAAAGAATTTTACCAGAGGTACTGAACAAGATTTGTTACTCATGGTGAAACTACCGCTAAGCTCAGTAAAATTAAAGACTGTGTGAACATTCAAAAGCTTTGTTTCAGCGTAAAAAGTGAGCGGCCTAAGAGAATGACTAATCATCAATGGAGCAGGATAAAATGCTACTCTGCGTAAGAGAATCAAAATTTTGAGCATGTATTACACGAGACTGAACAATAACAAAAACAAATATTAGACAACGCAACATTTGGGGTCTGGGCCTGGAATCCATTTACTGAAATCTCTCTACAAGAAAACTCTTTGAGTACAATCTTGATCCCTAAAGAAAAACAAAACAAAAATGAATCGACCATGAGAGGACTCACTACTTCCTTGAGTTATTGAAATTATCGATTAGGCGTTTATCAGAAATGTTTTGCTCCGGTTCCTAAGTTGACTGATTTCTTGGAAAGTTATGCCACTTAAGTAGATACTCTGTTTTGCCCTTTTTCCTACGAGACTTAATAATCTGATCAGCTTAAAAAATACTTTTGTCATCTATCACAGAATTATCAGGATTTGATTGCAACTGCACCAGTGAGTTCTGATGATCAGAATGGGTGCTTGAATTTGGAGGTTCTGAAGCTGGCGGACTAGAGTCGACATTTTTATTGACAGGAAGCTGTGACTCAAAACAGTCATCTGGAATATCTTATTCATTAAGTAAGGCTCACTTGGGTCATCAAATAGTGGAGGTTCAAGTGGTCGTAAACTGGGATCTATAAATGGCTTCATTCGATTAGCATGCAGGGCAAAAGTAATTGTCTTATTAGTATCAGTACGCAATCGAAAATGAACTGGAGATGCCTGTTCTACTATTCTGTATGGTCCCAACCAATTGTGTAAAAGTTTCCTAGACAAACCCTTTTTAGTCTGAGGAGTGTAAACCCATACATGCTGACCAACCACAAAAATAGGTTCCTTAGCACCCTGATCATAGTAATCCTTCACTCTCTGCTGAGCACGCTGGAAATTTTCTCTTGCCAAATTTTTGCTAACTTACGCTTTTCAACAATACGCTTATGATGTTCAAAATCTGAAGTGGTAACATCATCAGCGACTGGCAGTTAATACTTGACATCCACAGGTAAATGAGGCTCACGGCCATACAGAACGTAAAATGGAGAATCTCCAATGGCTTCTAAAACTGATGTTCTATGAGCAAGCGGCAACTAGTGGTATAGAATTGTCCCAGTCTTTTTGGTTCTTTACGACATACATCGAAAGTGACTGACATAAGGTAGAGTTAAACCTTTCGACTAGGCCACCGGTCTGCGGGTGATAACTAGAAGTATTTACTTCGTGAATTTGAAAGATCTTACAAACATCTGCCACCACTTTAGACAGGAAATTTTCCCTCTATCAGACAGCAAAGGTGCACTAGGTGCACCATGTCTGGCTATGACTTCATCCACCAAAAGACGAGAAATAACAGTTGCTTCAACGCTTGGAACCGGGAAATGCGTCACACCATCGAGTAAGGTAATCACTGAAAATGACAACGTACTTGTTGCCTTTATTAGAAGGTGGGAAAGGCCCCAGCACATCAACAGCAACCCTATCAAAGGCATTTTCTACTGGAATTGGAAGTAAAGGTGTTTTCTTTGAATTTCTAGGCGATTTCTTCCTGGAACATTCAGTACAAGGCTTACACCAATGTTCAATATCTTTGTACATCCCTTTCCACCAATATCTCTGCTTAACCTTATTGATCGTCTTATGGACCCCAAATTGCACACCAGAAACGTGCTCATGCATGTTAGACAAAATTTCAAACCTTAACATTGGTGGAACATCGAGCTGAGGAAATGAATCCCAAGAATTGCACTTTCGATTGTCGCCTAAATGATAAAGTAATCCATCACGCTCAATATAGAAACTGTCACTCGTCAGCAAAATTTTGCGCGCAGTGCGATCGTCTGATAGTAAAACATCACTTTCTAGGTAATCAATTATCTCAATCACGTCAAGATCACGCCTCTGCAACCCTCGAGTTTTCGCCACTTGTGGCTCCTCCTTTTGGAGTGAATTAAAATCTCGTGACACATAAGGAAGCCTAGATAAACCATCTGCATTGCCATGAGTCTTACCAGGGCAATGAACAATCTCAAAATCATACTGCTGTAACAGTAAAGCCCATCTTGCTAAACGATCTGAAGCATCCTTAACATTCATTAACCAATGCAAGGAAACTGTGATCAGTAACAACTGTAAATTTGTAAAAGGTTGAAACTTCTTGATTCCCTCAACCAACGCAAGTGCTTTCCTCTCAGTTGTACTATAATTAAGCTCTGCTTGATTCAAACCATGCCCATTGTAAGCAATTACAACTTCTTTTGCATTCTGAACTTGAGCTAAGGTAAAACCGATCCCCGTGGAACTAGCATCAATAAACAACAGAAAAGGCTCCTTAAAGTTGGGATATGCTAAAATAGGAGCGCACGCATGCTTCAGCTTGTCGAAAGCGACAGCACATTACTAAGTCCAATTAAAAGAAAGATCCTTCTTAGTCAACACTTTTAGGGGAGTGGCTATGTGAGAAAAACCCTTTACAAAACATCTATAATAATAAGCGTGACCTAAGAAATTTCTAAGTTCCTTTAAATTAGTTGGAGTAGGGAATTCCTGCACGACACCAACCTTGTCTGGGTTGGGACTTACACCTTCAGTCAGGGGTTACAACATGGCCGAGGTATTCCACCTTTTGTTTAACAAAGCTACATTTCTTCGTATTCAACTTAACATTAGCTTGATGAAGCCTCCCAAAGACTTCTTCTAAATGGACTAAGTGCTCTTCAACCGACCTAGAAAATATAATTATATCATCCATAAATATTGGAAATAAGAAAAAAACTACACTTTCATCGCAACAAGCCTACTTCGTGATTGCTCACTCTTCATGAGATTTTAATGATAAGAATATTCATAACCATCGACTTTATACTTTGAGATTACATTGTTTGGGAAAATTTAAATGTAAATGTTTAGTTGTTACGTAGCAACGCTTTGTTTCTGTGGCAGCAAGAAGATACAAGTTTGTTACGTTTGTTAAGTGATTATAGATCGGGACCACAGATAATTAAAAATTTCTCTTTGAGGCAAAAGTTACATCTTTTACTTGAACTGCTGTAGGATGAGCTAGATGAAATGATATGCCATGAAATAGAATAGTCAGTGTTGTTGTCTTTAAGGGAACAGACATGTTTACTGAGTTCCGTAGGGTTCCTGTGTTTTGTGTGACGGAATGATGCAGTGTGGTTTCTGTAGCTAGTTTTGAAGCCGTTTTCTGTGAGTCCGATGTATGTTTATCTGTGTGTTTGGGTGAATTCAGGATACACTTGTTGTGGTTGTTGATAATTTGTTTAGTGTTATTCATGCAACTGTAGCTGATCACATGCCCTCTTAACGGAAACTGCCTTCAGTCATCAGTTATCTACCAAGCAACCGTCAAACATAACAACAATAACACTTCTGACTCAGAATCAGATTCAGACAAAGCAAACACGTCACAGGATTTCACAAACAAATCACGAAACTTAACTTTGTCATCAGTTGAGAGGCGTGGACCAAAGAAATAAAAGCTTTATCCGTCAAATCACTATCATCATTTAAGTGTACACCCTTAAAAGTAAGGGGATCTGGTTCAGAAGGAAGATTCACCGATCCATTTTCAAAATTAACCTTAAAACAAAATTC